GGGTGAAGCCCTTTACAGAACATTATCATGTGTTAGGCAGTTTCTTCTTCCTCTCCACACGCACTGCATACCATGTCAACCCCTTCGTATTTGGCCCGATATTTCTTTGTTCTCATTACTCCCGTCCTGGCCTCAAACAGTGGGGAACTACTCCGAGTATTATCATGGATCCTTTCCTTGGCTATTTTCTGCTTAAAAGCTCAATAGATCTTTATAGTGCGGACTTCTTAATCATGCCAATTCTCCACATATCGGTCTCACCTTCCTTCACCTTCTTCTTAACCGATAATTCTTTTTGGTTTGGCCCCCTGCTGTTTTCCAAGTATTTACCAGTCCAATTTCTGGTTCGCTTCCGCCATTTTGTATCGACATTCTTCATGTACAAGTAGCTGAATATCTTCCTAGCCCAACGCTCCTCCGCCATTTCTCTCAATCGCTTCTCAAATTTTATCTTGCTGCTAGCTTCCCTGCCCTCAAATGATGTCCATCCCATATCACCTTGTACTCCCTGATTTGGTGTATTCCCGTGAGCTCCTAAGGCAAGCCTACCTATTCCACGTTGCTTAATTTCTAGTCTTGCTTGAACTTCTGATCTCATGCACAAGACCGCATTGCCAAACGTCAGACCAGGAACCAAGACCCTTTTCCATATTCCTCTCACAACATCATAGCTATTGTAATGAAAAGTGGCACGAAGCGCCACACAGCCGCAATATAGGACTGTTGAAGCACCGTGATATATGTCCCTGAACACTGCAAGTGCTGCACACCAACAGAGGTCGAAATTTCGGCTGATCTTCAGGAAAATGACTGTCATTGAGCGCTCTTGCATAGTGCGCAGGTTCTTCAGAGATGCCACGAGGATATGGGGGAGGGGGGAGGCGTGCGCTCAGTGTTTCAATCATAGCACGAAGCTTGAAAATGCGTGGTCATCCTTCGCTGTGGGGCTGGGATGTACTTCGCAGCTGCTCCCCATGTGGTTGGTTGCCAAGGGGCTGGAGGAGGCGAAGTTCTAGCCTCACCTGGCACGTACAATTCATTAGGGTGAGCTGTTGAACGCAACGTTTCTTGGCGTGCTAAGCTGCTCGCATAAAAACCATAGAATAGTCGAGAAAACGTCGTTGACGCAAGGTCTCGTGTCTACACTGGGAACAGTGGTCACGTTTTGCACACGGTCAACAAGGCTTGATTCAATGCATCTTCATAGTTTCAAAAGTTCTGCAGTGTTGAATAACGCCGGACACCAAACTTAGCTTATCTTTACCGATGAGAAAACTATACATTTCCTCACGAAGTCGGTTTAGGAAATGGCCGACTTTATCTTTTTACCGATATGTTGCGCTGACAAAATTACCTTGCACAGCCTCAATACATTTCTAATACATGTAGTGAACGTCTTATCCGGTAACTGCACCCATGACAGGGCTGCTTCGCACGCTTCTTGTTGGTGACTGAGTCTCTGAAACACTCCTTGAGTTTCTCACGAAAAAGGTCGCACGTTGTAAGCACGCTCTCGTGGTTTGTCATACCACACAAGTGCGGTGTCGATCAGAGAGAACACAACGTTGGTGAGCTGAGCGGTTCCATCCCATTCATTTGACATGCTCTCTCGCTTGTACCTGAGCAGCCACGGGTCTGCATGTTCTTCCGCTTTCCCGGCGAAAGGTGGCTGGATGGGGTAGTACTACGATGAACCGCTAGGTGATTTTCTGTGACCATCTCCTTCGTCGGACATGTCGATGGTGATCTCGTCAGGTGGTGGGAGGCTGGCAAGTCGTCGGCCTCGACGAAGCTGCAGCAGTGATCATTTTGTCGTTTTGAGAGCGTACCCTCACCTTCACTACCCTGTTACGCGCAGAGGAGACCCAGACTTGTAAGACCGAAGGGTCTTTCATTAGGTCGCGATGGTCGGCGCAGGAGCGGCGCACAGGTTGAGTCTCGCTGCGCCATCGTCTTCGTGCTAGCTGCCATTCGAAGCAGCCAGCAGGTTCACTGTTCTTTGTTTTCCTCGCAGATACGTTCAACTATGCGCAATTTCGCGAAAAAGTAGACAAGCAGCACATGTTGCTCACACACTACACCGCATCGCGTCTTCCATAGTAATTTTCAAAATCTGGCGAGACTGTGTGTCAGAATACGTAATTGTCACACGGAATGCTTTGGTCGAAATACTGCTTAGACAAGATATATTCTTTAAGTTCATCCTGTGAGCGTGGTTAATGTCAATTTTTATGTACGTCTTTGCATTAAATTGCCTATATCGGTTTTCGCCACTCCTCGGTAGACGTGAACTGCCAAATACATGTGGCGCATGCCCGCATACTACAGTCTGCGGTCCGCGGGTACATGCTAGACGTGCATGGGGGAAGTGTTTGACGTCGTACGCAATGTCATATTAATATTATTCATGTCAGCACCAGACAGCTATAATGAAGAAGACTTCCTACCCTCACACACTTTTTTTGGTCAGGCCCAATTTAAGGAGGTGATCACTAGAACACTTCACGCGTGGGCGGTTAGATACTGTCATACAGTTGGTGAGAATAAGAGGGAGGGCGGGGAAGGTAAGCAGAGCTGAGCCCGGTACGCTTGAGCCAGGTAGACTTGGTTACACTAATCTTCTAGCTTGACCAAGGGATGTTGCAAATACGAAGCGATCTCAAGAACTTGCAACGTTCTCCATAAAACTGGGTTTTTAAAGCTACCTGAAAGCATGCGAAATCATTCTGCATCGTCGTAATGTACGAAAGACCCAAGCCAAATTCAGCTGAAAGAGCTGCTTTCCAGAACCGCCGTCATCTTTTGCGTACAATACGTTGACCAGGCAAACGTGGTAAGTCTGATTCTGAAAAAAAAAGTGCAGTGTCTACGGCGCATGCATCAGGTCGTTTAACGTACTGCGCATGTGCATTTCCACCCCGCTATGACTCTAAGCGTTCTAACTGTCGATTAAACTGTATATTATGGTCACGCAACTACAGGCGTTGACATTATCATGATGTCAGGCTTCAAGTAAAAACAGTGTCATTACATGACAGTATTGTCACTTGTGGTGACGTACCAAAGTGATACATTCAAACTTGCCGCTTATGCATCCCCGAGAAGTAGAAAATGGCAGTTTCTGCGTCGCCAACGGAGTCACGTATCAAATTGGTCGAGGCAACGTCATGGTCTTTTCGGCGAGCACGTCTAGAGAAGTTCCCGCAATGTTCCGTCGTAGTGGCATTGTGGAAACCGAAATTATCTCTCAAAAACTGTCTGTAAATACTTTAAGTTGAGCGCTGACACTTGCTAGCACATCGCCAATGCTTTTGAAGGCTCTCCTTTTCATTTATCGTATTAAATGACAACTGAACATTTCTTGGTAAGTACTTTAGGTGAACGTGCAAAGCAGTGTCGGAGATTTTTGATTAAATTAAGCCGGTAGTCATATTGTCAACAACCCCGAATCATTTGCGCCGACACGCTCAGAGTAGAGCTTATTTTTTTTAACGCGATGGCGTTAAAGAGCTCGTTTCACAGAAATATTGTGTCGGCGCCAGTGTCGGCGTGGGCATCGTTGGTTGTGAGCGAGAACTCATCATAATGTTTAGGACTGACAAATCGAAAAAGATGCGAATAAAATAAATAACGAAAAATTGTGGGCCCGCGTGATCATTGAATCTGGGTGAACTGCATGGCAAGCAGCTGTACTACCACACTGACAAGCTTCTTCTTTCTATTTTTATTATTGATTTACCGACGTAGCATGTGCATCAACCACAGCGAAAAATACAATAACACACACAATTGCAACAACAAGCGAGGTTGTGTAATTTTAAAAGAAAAAAAAACAACACCCCTCTTTCTGTTGAGAATAGACAGAAAGCAGCATCATCTACTTGGAAAAACAGCAAAGATAAGTTCCCTTCATTGCCAACACGGACATTCTGTGTACAGACATCACAATACAAAAAGTAATATTGCAATCATGTTACTTGTACAAGCGTGAATCGCCGTCGGGCATCAGAACATATGATTGTTATAGCTACTTAGTGGTTGGAAGCCAGCCACCCATTCCAAAAGGCACACATTACTGTGCGTATTATCCTACTACCGCGAAGTGGACACATTTCACGGGATCATAAACGCAGCCATAATTTACGGTTTCAAACATTCCACGCTATCATGATTGCAGCCATATTTGTAATCTCCCCGACCCCGCATTTGCGCTATCGTGTTCAACTTTTAAGAGAAAGCTTAAAGCCCCTTCCCCCCCCTCTTTTTTTCTTTGCGCCTTCCAAATTGTGAGGTCTGTATAGTTTAATTCGTCAAAGTCAACTCTATTTCATAACTATAGTAGGCCTCGACGGACACCACCAGTCGATCAGCGATCGCGCGGCTGGGCAGCCACCTTTTCGACGGAGACGAAAATGCTTGATGCCCGTGTGCTTATAATTAGAAGCGCGTTAAAGCACTCCAGGTGGTCCAAATCTCCGGAGCACTTCATTATGACGCCTCTCATATGCATAGGTTGGTTTTGGGTAGTTAAATCATAACAATTATTGTTATATCAGCAATCGTGCCTCACTGAAACTTCTGCGCTGAAGCAACACATCGGCGGCCGCTTTGTACCCCAATGAAGAAAAGGTATAAGGAATGCGATTCAGTGCTGTGCGATTATGCAGGTGAGTAAGACGTTTTTTACAGCCGCGTCATCAGCACTTGCATCGCTCGAGTTTGTCCCACTACGTATAAGATATAGTTTACAATAGAATCCACTCCTTCTTTATAATATTTAGCACTGTTTTCATAAAATGACTAAAATTGACGTCAAAATGATTCAACATTGAAGTAAAATTAGCGAAAATGAAATTTCCAAAAAGTGTTTCACTACTTTGTAATACGAGATGAAAACTTAGTGATAAATAGCCTAGAAAAGATCGAATACTTACTCTTAACAAACATTTCGCAGTCTATAGAACAGAGTGAAAAAAAGCAATAAAGTACGCACGACTTACCGTTTAGAAATGTCGGCTGAATTATTGTTTGTGGAAAGCACCGTGAGCTACCGCATTCGCTGGTGTTATCAGAAAGGGAAAATAGTTGCTCTTATCGGGGTCAATTATATGCCGAAGCCGGTAAGAATTGTAGATAACGACTGAGAAGTTTTAAAGCTGACTGAGTTGTAGCGCAAGATCGCCCTTCGCCGAGTGATATCTTGGCACGGCCTTGCCAGCACTACTAAAATATCTGCTTCCTAAGAAAGCGATGGTAATGGGCCAGTGGCGCCATCTATTATGGATGCGTAACAGTAATGTCACCGTCGTTGAAAATTGATGCGGCGTAGGGATACATAGACTGGACGCGCTGTTAAGTGTCTATTTTGTCCTTGCACATATATTATGTTCTTCAGCGTGTGACACTTTTTTAAGGCCTTCAGGCCTGTAAAGTTTACGAAAAAATGAAAATTGCAATACCATCTAGGGGGTGTCTCGCCTAGCACACTGGTCGTTCATTATTGTGGTGTGTTCACGTTTTAACACCCTGAATGGGAAGTATTCGTGTAGGTTAATGTATATCGACCTGCTTTCTGGAGCTTGTTACAGCAGATGCTATGACGACTTGTTGTATTCATTGAGCATCGTCTGCATCAACTGCTATCTTTTTATAGAGGATAATCGTTTTCAATAATCGCTCTTTTGTTTTCTGGTGGAAAGCACTCGGCTAACTGGCATCAGGAAATCCTTCACCCCTGGGCGAAGAAAACGCGCGCCTGATCTCAAAATGAAATTCAATTCTCTCGCTCTGTTTTCCTTTTCTCATTCCAGCAAGCCAAAACGTCCTTCCAAACCACAATAATTTCTCGAGCTCGGCTGACGCTCTCTTTTTGTAATAATTTTAACTCCTTATATAGCCAAAGAGATTGTTGACTGTTCTCTGCAAAAGATGGCGTGACCAGTTCCAAATGTATGACAGGACATCAGCATTGCTCTCGTGGTGTCAGAAGCCATTGATTGACGTAGTGTTCGTTTGTAGGTCTACTCGGAGGGCGTGTCACGCAAAAAAACGTATCCGTTAGCACGATATGTTATCCAAAGATGCGAAAGTGGCCACATTGATCGCGTTGAACCTTTTGTATCGTTATCAGTGAGCTCAGTGAGGCAGGACACTACGGAACTTGACACAAAGGCTCATTTACTCGGACTATCGAAGTGGTGAGTGGAATGTATTCAGTTCTTTTCGTGGTCTGTTTACGGAACAGCAAAGTAACGACTAACAGACAATGGTTTTCGTGATCCATCGTTTCCTACTTTCAATTCGTACGTTTTTCTGTGCTAGTAGTGATATTTTTGCAGGTATACTGTTTTGTGATTCTACAAAAGCCACGTTGTAGATTAGTGTCAGGTGTTAACTGCTAATATAATGAAGCGCGTCTCCCTGCATAGCCGTAGGTGCCCCAAGAAAACGATCGCTAATGATGAGGTTTTTATTATTGATGCAGAACGGAATATAATTGCCTTACATCAAAACAAGGAGCATGCAACCAATTTTATACTGGTAACCAAACTGTTGTCGAGTTTCAACTTTTGCACAGAAGCGGTGACGGCAACTAAAGCCAACTGAGTGACTGACAGCTGACGACAGCTGATTTTAAAACATGATGTGTATGAATAATGATTTGCCTCAATTAGATAGACTCAATGCAAGAAGTCTTTAGAGCATGGCCCATGCCATGCTCTAAAGCTGACACCAACGCCGACACCTACGCCGGAATGTGCGCGAAAGGGGTTTTTAACAATATCGCGTTAAAAATTGCTGTTTGGGAGTTTTCGAAGTTCCTACCATATTGCGACCCGCCACGACCGGCCGATAAATCTGCAATGGCAGTGCCACCGCTGCTAACATGCTTTACTGATAGGCTGCGCGGCCACTTTTGCTACCACTCTTACCTTCTAGCAATCAGTTTTGAGCATGTACTCAGAAGCGCTCGGCTCATTTTTGTCACCCGTTCGGTCGATTAACCTTAGTAGCGCTCCCGGCTGGATGTTACACCAACACCGATGGGTGGACAAGTTGGCGACGCCAGCACGCGTTGGCTACGTGAATGTTGCAGAGCGAGAAACTTTATTGAAATGATGTAAAACCTAAGAATGGCTCCACAGATGAAGTTTGTGCAACTGAGATAGTCACTACTCAAATGTTCTTTTAACTGGGAGACTATTTCATTGGTTGCATAAGAGAACTCTTGTGATTTTATAATTTTTTTTTGTTTGAAATATTCTTTAAGCCAATCTTCGTAGTAGTAAGACTTGCACCTATAGGTTTGCTTCTGATTAAAAACCTTGGTCAAAGCCACCACTTCTGGCTATTATTTTGTATAAAGTGATTTTCTTAGAGGCGAAGCACTGTAGGCTACGAGCGTGTCTATCCATTATCAACCGCCCTAACAAAGCCGTCAAGACAGCTTATATCCTCACAAAATGATTCAAAGTATTTCACACAATTGACGAAATGATAGGATCCCGCAAATTCCTCTCCAGCCAAGCTGTCATGCTTCAACTGAAGCATGACATCATTATCTGGAACTCGAGCCTCAATACTCAAGCAATTCTCAGTCTCGTTCTCAAGGAGGCTTCTAACAACGTCAGCCACACCACCATACTGAGTGAACTGAGCTCTATTGGCGTTGGCATACATAATTATACTACGTAATTGAATATACACAATTGCATATCTGCGTTCATTTTGAACCAAACGGCTACTATTCCTAATGCGTCTGAACACTCTTGCTCTTAATCCTTCGGGAGTATACGTATCGGCACTTCTCAAGGATCAGTGTTATCCTTTTTTCTTTTTATTCTCACCATGATGCCACTAGCTAGAGCGCATAGATGCCGAACAGATCATGAGTTTTCACTCTATGCAGATTATATTAGACCGGCAGCTCTGAGCGTCACATTAAAGAGACTCTGCAGACTGCTACTGACAAGGTGGTTATTTGTGTGGGTAACGTGAATCTCGCCTGTTCACGAAATAAATGTAAACTTCTCATCCATGCCAATCGGGGCTCTGAAAAGCGCATCTCCGATATACGAATAGCACTGAACAATACACCAGTACTCAAAGTTTACAGGTTCAGATTGCTTGGACTACAAGTACAACAAAATGACTAAACACCAATCAACTACTCCCGACAGCTGTGAACCACATTCTGCGCCTTGTAGGCAGGATACCTATTAAGCATGGCGGGCTACGAGAGGCACAGCTACTCTACCTCCACCTCTTTTTGAGCCTCTGTCTTCAATAAATTGACTCATTCTGTTCCTTAACTGTCCTTTCTGAAAAGAGAAGAAAATGACGGGAGAACCTAGTTAAGTTTTCCTTCTCGTTCGTTGATCTCCTTGATATGAATTGAAGTCCCGTCAAGGAGATGATCGGCGTCGATGAAGCAGGAGGCAGGTTCGAGGTAATGAAAACTTGAAGGTATATTACAGCGAACTATTTACAGTCATATGTACATCTTGCCGAAGCACACTCATGATAACGCAGACATCAACAACGTCTTACTCTTCTACTTAACTTTTCTTAAGTTAGAGCCTAGAACACTGTTACTACATACAACGTACTCAGTCTCACTGTTCGACCACGAAGTGGTTACGGCCCAGACAAAAGTTGCATCGTACGGAGTCGTACTGATCTATCAGTTAAGTGATTGCAGCCTCGAATGAAGAGAAACGGATTCCCCCCAGTCTTAAGCATCTTGCGGTAACAAAGAAAAAGGGGAGGGGGCCACTGCTGGTCCGCCTCAACATTCTCTCATCCAATCTGTTTCCACTAAGATTAAGTCACTCCCTACTGGGCTGACCTTACTCTCGACAGCAGCGCTTCTACAGCTTAAACAGGCGTTTTGGTACTCTTTCCCATCATGTCTCTCTCTCTCCACCTCCCACGCGCTCAGGAATTCTAACGCTGGGGAGATATCGGCATTGTAGACCCGGTACATTTATGCCCTTTCCCACGCCCAGCGAGCCGAGACGAACCTCCAAAGCCGGAAATTGAGTGATTGCGCGCGGAACGTGATTGCCCCCGCAGGTATCAAGCGGCCTTTGACTTTCTCCGCTTACCTTGTGCTCGGGTCGTGCATCGCTGCGAATTTGAGCCGATCACCAGAGAAGAGCGTGTCGCCTACTCTCACTGAGCTCGCGCCCGGCAGTGGAGGCAGGACGGGGTCGTTTAATCCCATTGTGCGTTTGCCCCCGGCAGGGGCGACTTGTCTCTAAAACCACAAACATTCCAAGCCGGTTGGCAGAGCGGGTTCGTTTCACATTGTGTGTTTGTCCCCGGCAGCGGAGGGGACGGACGTAGTTTGCATTCCAGAGGATAAGTGGTGTATAGTTACATTGGCATACCGAGAGAGAGTCGAGAAAGAAGCTTTGTATAACGTAGCTTCCCGCGCTGTCGTCCAATGCTCAAAGGAAGCAATTTGCGACCTTGCCAAGAGAGATCCGAGAAAGAGGCTTTGAATAACGTAGCTTCTGGTGCTGTCCCATCCGCACGATCAACTTATGAGCGGCAAAACATAACACGTCCCCCCCAATGAGTATACTGGGCTGTCTTACGCTCAGTGATACGATAAGGCACTGCCGCGATTAAGTCACTGGATTTTCTAACCACACAACAGTTGTACACAAGCATCAAACACAATTGCAAGCCAACACTACAGGATAATACACTAAACGAAAACAAATATATGCTAAACAATCAAGTACAGCATTGCTGCTTCAAGCAGTGAGATCACCAGTGTCTGTTTCTTGAATTGTCAATCACACAGTCCACAATATACAGCAGCACGTGGGCAGGAACATTCACGTCCCCCCAAGTTGGCATGGCACTGTTATTCTGATGGCTTCCATGAACTATTCTGAAGCCTAGATAACGCATCCGCATTACCGTTACATACTCCCTTCCGATGTTGTAGCGACACATGATATCGCTGTAAAGCCAGCGCCCATCTTGTTAATTTCACCCCGTGCGGAGTCGAAGTTGTAAGGTACGACAGCGGATTGTGGTCGGAAACGACGTTTACTATGGCACCAAAAAGCCAGTAGTCGAACTTCTTTAAGGCCCATATTATTGCGAACGCTTCCCTCTCAATTGTCGACCAACGCATCTGGGTCGGTGAGAAGCGGTGGCTTGCAAAGGCGATAGGCCTTGTTATGACCGCCATCGGTAGGCGCCATGCTGTCGCTGAGAAGCGTAGCCGGGCAGTGTTCCCACGCCTGGAACCCCGGTTTTCTTGGAACCAGCGTCGAGAGATGACGGGGGAGCGGCGCTCTTTTAATCCTATGCCCGCCAGGTATTGTCCCTGCTAGCCGGAGGATGAGACGTTGTGTCGCCACGAAGCTGTAAGCCGTTCCAGAGAGGACAACAAAGACAGCGTCTTCCTTTGAAGAAACGGCGGCCGCCGCCACAAAGTGCCCTGCTAATTGAGCGGACAGATTGGCGGACCGTTTGATGTCTGCTGTCCGAAGTTTGGGACCCCTCGACCAGCGACACACACGACGAGCAAGAGCCCCCCCTGGCGCCACCTTTCAGTGCAGTGATCTCGACTCAAAATTGGATGTTCACGTGTGCCGGGCATGCTCGTACCTTTCACCTGTTGTGTGTGTGTGATTGGTGTTCTCCTCAAGAAGGAGGAGCCCAACAGGGCTTATAAGGACGCCGCCGAGTGCGGGACGTCACTCTGAACCAAGTAAAGGTTCAACCACCACGTTCGTAGTTTGTGTAGGCTCTGAACCCAGTAAAGGTTTAACCACCACGCTCGTGGTTTGTGAACTCTTAACCTCATGCTGTAAATATTTGTAAATAGTGCCATAAACCTTGTTTGTTTTTCGTATCCCCATCTTGTAAGCGGTCGTTTCCTCACCCCGACGCTACACCACGCTACCACAGCACCCCGGGATCACAACAACTGGTGATCAGCGGTGGGATCACGACAACTGGTTGGCAGCGGAGGGATTCGAAGCTACAAGTGACAACAACAGTCGGCCCAGGAGAAGCAGCTGGCTCGAGACATGGATCACGTATGGGTGAGTGCTTGGCTTTTCCTTTGAGTGAACCAGGTTCTAAAAGAGGGTTAAATTTTAGAACTGGTAGTTAACTTTGCCGAAAAACTCAGTTTCGCCGTTTCGGAAAGTTATTTTGGAAGTAGCGA